AGACTGGCTTATAAAATAAACGGTATCACTCATCAATAATGTGCTCCCTCAAACAGTCAGCTATATGAGACCAAACAGTCAACATTTACCCAAAATCACAGACGAGAAGGCAAGGAGGGGAAGGGAAGGTAGATCAATGGAAACAGAACAAACAGAATGGAAATGAGAATGCTGACACATTATGAAAAGTGTAACCAAGTCATGGAACAATCTGTATAAAAATTGTTAAATTGGAACCTAATTCGCTGTATAAACTTTCATCTAAAACACAATAAAATAAAAAAAAAAAAAAAAAAAAGACAGAAGGTTCTGGGAATCAAGCAGTAAAATCCTTTACTTCCCAAATACCCTAATCTCAGGATCTCCACTTCATCAAGATGAAATATACCTGGCTTTTCTTGCTGAAGAGCTGCCAGCCATTGGTGTCAAACACTTCTCTTTTCTTGTCAAAGCTTTCTTGCTTTAGGTACTGCCTAAAGGTATTGAGAAAGAACATGAGCTATGGGGAAATCTGATGACAGCTGCCACCCTAAGAATGGGGCTGACAATCCCCAATTAGGAAGAGTTTCACCAGCTCCTCTGAGGAAAACAGTCTATTATGCTGGGTGGGGAATCCTGGGTCTGCTAAGCTCCCTCAGAAGGTAAGCTTGCCTCACTGCCCCCACAATTATTACTTACTCTATTGACCCAAGGGGAACAGAATGGCTGTGTCTGATACTCAAGCTCCCTCTACCTACTGTTCCTCTGGAGGAATAAATTTTTATTTTTCCTTTGGTTTATATGGTCCTTTAGAACTCAATCTAATGGAAAAATGTTTTTCTAGCAATATCGAGGTATTTATTTACTATTGTTGGGCTTGATTCTCCTGTGTGAAAATTCAATCCAAATCAACAACTTATGGAGTATATACCTCATATTGGAGCCTTACTGGCACAGTGGCTAAGAGCTACGGCTGCTAACCAAAAAGTCGGCAGTTCAAACCCACTAGCTGCTCCTTGGAAACCCTATGGAGCAGTTCTACTCTGTCCTAAAGGGTCACTGAGTCAGAACTGACTCAGCGGCAACAGGTTTGGTTTTTTGGTTTTATACCTCATATTGGAGCCCTGCTGGCACAGTGGTTAAGAGCTACAGTTGCTATCCAAAAAGGTCAGCAGTTCAAATTCACCAGCCATTCGTTCCTTGGAAACCCTACGGGGCAGTTCTACTCTGTCCTACAGGGTCATTGAGTGGGAATTGACTCAGTGGCAATAGGTTTGGTTTGGTTTTGGTTATACCTCATATAGAACACTATTCTTTCTGGAACCTACCTCCACTTGGCCACCAGAGTGGTACAGTGAGGAATAGGTGTTTTGGAAAGAGAAAGACTAGGTATAAAGAGATTTGCATTCCGGCTCCCTGCTGAGCCGCTAACTAGGATCTGAGCAAATCAAATCACCTCTGTAGGCCTTGATTTCTTCGCCTGAAAAATCAGGGGGCTGAATTTGATGATGATTTATAGTTTCTCCACTCTATATACTTTAGTGCACTATGACAGTAATTGCCCCCACTTCAACATATTTTTGGATTATATTATTAAATCTCATTTAAACCAAAAAAACCAAAGCCATTGCCATAGAGTCGATTCTAACTCACAGTGACGCTACAGGACAGACAATAGCCCCACAGGGGTTCCACGGAGCAGCTGGTGGACTCAAACTGCTGACCTTACATTTAGCAGCCGAGCTCTTAATCGCTGCGCACCAGGGCTCCAAATTTTATTTACTTAAACTTAAAATATCCATTCTTTCTCAATATGAAGATTTCCTTTATTAATCACTTCATTGTAGGTATCAGCAGCTGAGTTCAATAACTGGAAAAACACAACATATACCTGACACTGAACCTGTCTGTCCTCAACTCCCAACTTACAAGAGGATCTTGCAGGCTTCATTGTTTATCCCACCCATAGAGTCGTAATAGGTAATATTCTTCTTTCTAAAGTCCACAACCTGGGAATAAGAAAAAAATCTGTGTTTATAAAGTGAAAAAAACTGGTTTCTCAGCTGTTCCCTTCCCTGGCACTGGATCATTCTGCCAGATGTCCTGCGAAATCATGACAAGTTTGATTGCTACTTTGCATTATTCCATGCTAATCTGCAGAGAAAAGAAGAGGAAGGGGATTATTTACATAGAATTATGGGGAGGCTGACCAATTGGAGACCTCAATAATTGCCCTGAAACCTTTTCCTAGTGCTCAGGTTCTCCATCTGCAAGGTGGACAACAGTGAGGAAACGACATGCTCTGCAGAGAAGCTAAACTGAATGAGATCATCTCCATATACTTTAGAAAGATGGGGAAAAGATTCCAGGTTTTGTTTCTTTTATCTTGAGAATTTCCTTTTGGCTTTGTGCTTTTCAAATGTAACTCAAAACAGACTGTAAAATAACTTTTATACTTTTATAACTACATTAAGCTAATGAATCTCTGTTCTCAGAGACATAAAAAAAATATTAAAATGCCAAGTATGCAAGACAAGTCATAATCAAGCAGAAAACAATGACAGAATCTGAGTTGACAACATCATTAAGAAAGTCACTTTTTCTCCCCATGCCTTGCCTTGACATTCCTTCAACTATATAACTCCAGAAAATTTTTTAAATTTTAAATTTTTCCAGAAAAGGAAATTCCATATCTTTGTTTAAAGTCTAAGTAGCTCCCATTCTTGACAGGGAGCTCAGTGATCTATCCAATTTTTATTCAACCTACTACAGCACACTTTCTCTCAATCCTCAAGTGAAGATGCAGAACTACTACTCGCTACCCTCTGTGTATTCTATAATTATATATATTTCTTTTAAATTTTATCAGATACAAAAGAGATACTCACAGCTAAACACCAGTGCACTCCCAGGTGAATGGGCACCAAAAGAATGTCAACTGAAAATACATCTACTTTCTTCGTCCAACGTTTCACTGCCTGATATCCAGCCATTTTTAACTTAGTGAAGAAAAAGGTATTAAATGCATGCACACTTGGCAATCCCTTCTCTTTACTTCGCTCCATCAGCATGTTCATGTAGAAATTGATTATCTGTGGGAAGAAATTTTATGTATTAGAATACTCAGGCCTTTCTGTGTAGTTGTATCATATGAAGGGAACGCAATTGCTGCAGTGAATGGCGTATGTTATTGCTTCCTATTCAATTCAGACTTAAATGTCCAACAGAGTCATGCCCTGTAACAAATTCTGATTAGAAGGGAGGAGGGTTGAGGGGTTATAAACAATGAAAAGAGGAAAAGCTGGTATGTATGCGTATATATACGTATATCTAAAATGGGGTTTGGGATACATATGGGCAGATGTTGGCCAGATGAGGGTTAGGTCAAAAGATGAGAGAATGGGGAGGAAGCGGTGTCAGAAGGTGAGGCTTAGGAAAAAGGAAATGAAGGAGAGCAAGCAGTTTAATAAGGTACATTAGCAGTCACTTTAATCTGTTGAGACTGTGTGAGCAAATTAAATAGCTCCTGAGCCCAGTCTGTTAGAGCCTACTGTTAATGAAGTGAAGGTTGAGAGTTCAGTCCTTACATTAGGTCACCTAGCTTTGTACAAAGGAAGAAAACCCTGCTTCCTGGCTAAAGATTGTCTTTTTAGCCTAGGAAGTCATCCTACAGAGGTAAACTGTTTGGTCTCAAGTAGAATTAAGTGACAGTGCCTATGGCCTAGGATAAACCCATCAATGGTAATGGAAAAACACCTCTAAGCTGACAGCAGCTCAGCAATGTTACCTTTATAGAGGCAGACATGAATGAGATATAAAAACCTATATTACCTGAGAGCTGAAAGTAAAGTCACAAACATGAAGAGTAAAGTTCTCTCCCAGAACCTACATGATTAGCTTTCTCATCTTTGTGGATTCCATTTATGCCTTCAATATCGAGTGAGAGGCATGAAAATGTCTGATAGGCAAGATATGTGATTCTTTCTGTTAATGAAACAATACCTCCTCTAATAGTGACTATGTCGTCCATGGTTTCTTTAGGTCCAGGACTCCTTGGTATTAAAACTTGAAAGTTACTGTGCCGGAAGTTGCTGCGTACTTACTTTATGTGGCCAGCTGAGGCCAGGCCAGTGTCTGTCGACTACAAAGAATGAACGGGCTGATTCACAACTTGGAAATATGACTAAGAAAACAGGCACATTTTTCAGAATGCTGTTTGGGAATGGGAAAACACCCCTGTCCTTTCACAAATATTTACACACCAGGATGCCAGAGCAGTGAGCTACTGCCCAACAGTAGGCAACTACATACTGGGTAGGCAGCAGGAAACACTGCCAGGAACACACCAGAGCATGGTCTAGACTAGAGAAAGGGCCTATAGATGAGGATGCCTAGGCAGCTGCAGAGAAACCACACTCACCATGAGGTGGGGGTGGCCAGGACTGAAGAAAGACACTGTTCTGCCTGCAGCTCTGAGGACTGAGCAATAGCACGCCCAGCAAACCCAGAGGCCTCAGGCTGTACCTAATTCTCTACCTAGTGCGATACTCAACAGATCACCAGAGCTCAGTGGTTTTAAACGATAATGAATCAAGGCACGATTAGAATTGTGTAGAGCCTAGATGTCTCAAATCTAGGTTTCTAATCTAACTCTGCCCCTGAGGATAATGGTGATACAGGATGCCTCTAGACTTGAGAAGGCAGCCACAATGCAGGAGGATCTACCCAGAAAGACAGATTTCTAGACTGCAAACTACATTCTCCAGTGAGAGAAAATCAGTAAGAGGGGATTGATTCATCTAGCATTCTACCCACAATATCAGCCATGTTATGAGGCCAAGTCCTTCAATCCAAGGGATGAAGTGAACAGGTGGATGACTTGTCAGTCACTGTAACCCAGATCTTCCACAGGGACAGTTTACATATTATACAAGGAATCAAGGAGGAGGTAAAAGGAATCAGTCAGAGAGGTAAGGACAGTCAAACACATAACAGCCATGGAGATAGGTGCCCGCGAGGGAGGTATCACCTCTGGGCTCATTAGCCTAAGATTGGAAAAAAAAAAAGACGACATAAACAAGCATCATGCTACACTACCGTATTTTCAGGAGAAAAAACTTCCGGAAACCAATGAAGTTTAGCTGGACTTAAACAGTCTGAGTTTTTTTTTTTTCCACCACTTTGAGAGGGAGGATTACAAAACTAAAGACTAACACAGCTGAACAGGAACAGAGACCTAGCAATCAGGACACCATGCTGTTTCCTTTGAGAATCTCCTCTTCTACTGATTTAGTCCTGTCTCCCACTACTAAGGTTTCTCCACTAAGAGGGAAATTAAAAAAAACCACTGCCGTCAAGTCAATTCTGGCTCATAGCAACCGTACAGGACAGAGTAGAACTGCCCCATAGGGTTTCCAAGTCTGTACATCTTTACGGAAGCACACTATCACATCTTTCTCCTGTGGAGCGGGTGGTGGGTTTGAACCACAGACCTTCTGGTTAGCAGCAGAGCACTTAAACCACTGCGCCACTAGGGCTCCTGATTCAAAATGAAATAGGCCTCTTCCAAAGTCAACTCTTTAATTAGCTCTAGTGATCTGCATTTCCTCTGTATACAGGCAGGAGGGAGCTTGGTGGCCTCAATGTTCCCTCCCATTAGCTAAGGATGACATCTGAGGCAGAATTTAGATCCAAGTTTCTCTAGTCAGTTTTTCAGCTATTACTCTGACAAATGAGGAAAATACACGTAGTTCAGCCAAGATGCGATCATACCAAAAAAAACAAGCTAAGAATTAGAGAACAAAAAGAATCCTACATGTCATCTCACAGAGGAGAGCTGAAGATGAAGGAAAAAAGAAATGAGAGAAGGGATCAGAGTCTCAAGATGAAAGAGAAGCAGGGATGGTCTGAGCATTTGCTTATATTTTGTGAAGAAAAGGGTCCCTTCCCCCACGGCAAGAGCCCTTTCTGCACACAAGGGTCTCTTAGCTCCAGCACATTCTGAATTCCCTTTGAAATAGGGGCTAAAAGTAGTAGACCAGCCCTGTGTCTACTGTCTGTCTTGCCAATGTACCAGCATCTGAGGGCTACTGCCAGGGCTGGTCCACTTGTCACCCTTCCCTGGAGCCCACACTGCCTCCATTTGCTTGCTGTGGCTTCTGGTGCCTATGGGTCTGCCCCTCCTGCTGCCTCACAGCCTTGGCCATGAGCGCCTGCTTGTCTATGCAGTCCTGTCTGGGGAAGGGGAGGTTTGTTTACAGTGTCATGTTCCTTTGTGATTTTATTTGAAGAGCTGCCAGGCTGAAGCTGAAAAAAGTATCTCTAAAAGAAAAGTCTACAACGTTTTCCAAGTAAGGACTCAATCATTTTCCTGTAGGTTACCACAATGACACAAATGATTATTGCCATTTGTATCTTCCTTCTTGCCTAGTACACTGGCCACACTATTATTCTGTCATGCATTTAGAAGTGAAACATTTAACAGCGAAGTCTTGATTTTTAACCCTTCCCATGTTTATACTCAACCCTTCCAATATGCTTAAAAAATGTTCTAACAAGTCCTGGGCTTGACAGTGCTCTTGAGGAGAGACCAAAACAACCATTAGGGGGAAAAAACAGTTTTTCCAGTTTTACCTTTCTAAATTTTTACCTCACCTCCCCATTCTGATTTTTAAATTAAATTTACACTTGCCAACTACAGAGACCAAAAGACTAACCAAACAGCAGCACTTGAATATTATGGGTCCGAAGGTCATTCACTCATAACATCTAATCTAGCAATATTATAGAAACCAAGAAGGTAGGCTTCAGGAAAGCTCTATGTATCACACCCATCACTGTGAACACACGCATAGGCTTTTTCTCAAATACAAATTCAAGTAACAAATTATTAGAATCATTGCTACAGTTTTAGACAAAGATAAGTAGGCAACACCTATTTTTATGGAGTCATAAAATGACAACTGTAATTACTACTCTCCATGTGACCCTGCATAACTCCCAGGTTTTTCAGGGCTAAGTCTTATTAAGAAATATTTCAAAGAGGTAAGCTAAAATGATGTGGAAGCCAATGAGTCATGTAAGAAACACTACAACTTCCATTCTGATCATTTTAATCCACATGTAATAGTGCAGGGCATATGGCATACCAATCGTTTTCATGTGACTAATTTATCTCATTTTGTATTATCTTTTGCAATCAGTTTTTATTCCCTAAGGAAAATCTATTTTCTGTGTGAGGTTTGTCTAGCTGTACTTAATGTTTTGTAGGCTGGTTCCTCCTTTTACTGAGCATCATCACTCAGTTATAACCACTCATTGAAAACAGAATTAACGTATTAAGCTATGATCACTACATTCCCCCATTTTCATGGAAAATTTGTGTTCTAAAAGTTACAATGCCAGACAAAGAGTTATGTGCTCTGGTTCCAGACCCTGATTATGCAATGAAAACCATGTGACCTTGTTACATCCCTTTAAAGTTTTACTTTTTATACTTCACCACTACCAATCAAGAATACTTTCTCTGTCTCTGTACACAAGGCTATTATGATGCTGAATAGCTGAAAGACATCTCTTTCCTTTCAGAGAGGAGGCTTACAAAGTAGGTAATTAGTCTGCCTGGTTATCTATGGTGTCAGTATTGTTACAGCCCGCTATGTAGGTTTTATGTCAATTCCATCTGCCCCCACCCCCAATATCTGCGATGAGTCTTTTCTTCATGGCCTTTCCCTAGCTGGTGAAGTTAGAAATGCAATATTCAAGCAGTCCAGTGTTTTTCCATTTTGGAAACAACTGGGAATTATTAATATGGGCTTGCAAAGTAGAGCCAACAAGAAGACATGTCTATTTGCTACCTTTCCGATTCAACCACGTAAATTAATATTAAGGGATGATGAGAGAATAGAGCCCTGGAAAGACAATAAAGAGACAGGAGATGCTGCAATCGTCCTGTTTCTCCACATGGGACAGGGCATACAGAACTGTGTAGAGAAGAAAGTGTTTCCTGCTCACAAACATTTGAGCACATGGGATCCATCTACATGTCCAAGCCTTCTGTACCGTTACTGATTTTCTATCGACTTATTCTAGC